TTTTCCATTATTTGCGACCCGAGCCCCTCCATTACCTTTAGTTCCCTGAGTCATAGTCATTTGGTAAGGGTTTGGGACTTGGTTCCAATAAATGGAACGAAAGATATATGTGATGTTTTGTGAATGATTTAAGTGTTGTTGAATTTTTACTATGTTGAATTTAAGTTGATGTTATTTAAGTGTGTTGAGTTGAAGTAGTGTTGCATTTTTTTTATGTTGGATTCAGGATAAGTATAATATAATTACATTTTCCACTAAACCGGGCTAAACCGGGCTAAACTGGGCTAAAACGGGTGACCCATTGACCCATGACCCACTAGCTCATCCGGATCCGGGTCGACCCGCGGTTTGACAACCTTGGTCGGGATCAAAGTCCACGTAGTTCATTTAAATTGAGAGATTTTAAGAAGTGATCTCAACACGTTATATTGATCGTTGTTTAGTTGATAAATTGAGTTTTTAGGAAATGTATTTATGATGTTTCGATTTAGCGATTTAGTGATAAATGACCTTTGAAAGGGTTTCACCGTGACGATTATCACGGTCTATTGACCATGATTTTTTTACAAGAGTTGTTTAGGAAAAATATGTATTTTGGAGATAGCGAAAATCAATTATCTCAAAATGGTTGGATGTTAGATACCCTTTGTGTATAAGACTAATTGAATTAATCCTAAACTAAATATTCGATCACGTTTAAATTTTACGTATTAGGAATGTTGAAGAGTTAAAATCCAAAGCGATTGTGAAAAGTTCGAGTAGTAGGTGACTAGCCTAGTAGTTTATATTTTCGTGTTTATTAATTTTGTGAGAAAGAGGTCGATGTTTCGAACTTGGCCACTTACTAGTATACTGTATATTCTTGTTATTCCGTTTTCTGATGAATAATGGCAGCGGGTAAATTTTCGAAAATAGGAGGGGTATTTTGGTCTTTACGGACGGTGTATAAAACAACTAGAAGGGACGAAAATTTAACCCTAGCCGCATTCTAATCTCCATTTCTGTCGATTTGCCTTCTTCTCCCGCTCTCTCTCTGGACGAACGAAAAAGAACTACAAAAATCGCAAGAAACACAACTCGAATCTGCCACTTCCTCATTCCCTTCTTCGTCTTCTTCTTTCCCCATCTAATCCCGTTATCCATCCATTTGTTCGTTCTTTAACCCCTTCCGATCTGCCCTATTCCTCTCTCTTCCTCCATGGTAACGACAATAATGAGAGAAGGAAAACCGACGGCTATGGATCGCCGGCGAAAGGAAAGAGGGCGAACGACTCCGACGATGATGGGAATCACGGTGGCGAAGGTTAGTGATCAAAATCCTCTCATTGCATGTCGATTTTTAGTATTTTTTAGGTTGGATCGAGTATTTCAATTCTAATGCATGTTTGTGTTTGTGTTTTTATTTGGATTTTTGGCCTTTTGGGGTTGTTTGACCGTGGAAGGAAGGGAGGAGAAGAAATAAAGAGTCACCGGCGCTCTGGCTCCGCCGGCGACGAGGGAAAACCCAGAAAGCGACTGCTGGGGGTTCCCGCTTGGTAAGTTTTTTTGGTAATTGGATTATTTGGTTTTTCGATTGGTTTGTATTGGGGTTAATAGGGCGGTTTTGTAAATCTGGGATGGTTTTGAAACCGTTAGGTAATTGTGTTTATAACTGAGGTGTGGGACTTTGAACACTAAGAAATCTTAGAATTGCGGTTCAAGTTCTAGAATTTCTTAAACTGACTATAAACACTGTAATTGCTTGTGATTACTTCGTCTTTTATTGCTTTAGTGTTAAATTTGGGTTTTTATTGAGTTTATGATGTATGAAATCTGGGTTTAGGCATGGGATTAGGGATTCTATACGAAACTAGAATCATGTGTTGTTTTGTCGACTGATATGCCCTGTGAGGTGATGGGTTGGGGTTCGCATAGGGTACCTCAAAACAAAATAAAGACACCTCAAAATATGTTCACGAGTTTTGTCTTGAGTCTAGTTTTGCTTGTTATAAAATCTGCTTTTTAGTCGAAAATTTGAGATGTTGATGTTAGATTCACTTAGTATGAAATTGAATATGTTGAATAATGATAAAGCAATCAAAGGCAAAACAAGGAAACAGATCTATTGTTTTTTTAGCTTGAAATATGCTTAAACGTAAAAGCCGATGTAAGCAGAAATATAGAGTCATTAAGTAATGTAGTAGATCTGATTTTTCCATTGTTAAATCACTTTCTAGATATAGTGAAAATTCCATTTTTGATTTGCTTGGCCATTGCTTAAGTTTTTACACAAGAAGCTTTACATAGGTCGAGAAATTAGATGATTGATTATGTATGATAATGGTTGGGATTTGGATATTAACCTTTTACCGTGGTTGGAGGAGTTGCTGAAGCTGCTTTCCTCTTTCCAGTTTTCTGTTCCTCTTCTCCTTGTATGTCTACGGCTGTTTGTCCTTTTATGCTCTTCTTCTACTGCTTTTCTTTTTTCGCATCATTGTTGTATGTGTTTCTTCTTGGCAAGGAAGAAGTGGTGAAACAGAACAAATAAGGGAGGTATAAGGGAATTTTTGTCTCCTTTGTTGTCTGTATGTGTTTTCTGTTGGTTTTTGGTTCTTTCTGTTTGTTTTCCAGCTTTGTTGTTAGTAGGTTTCGATGGTTTGGCCACCTTTCCTCAAATTTTGGGGCTTGACGTCGCCTTTCTGCTATCTGCTTAGCTTCTTTTCCTTCAATTCTCACTTGTAGGGAGATAAGTAAAGGCAAACTACTTTGTTTTTTGTGTGTTTCTTTTTGTGTTTGTTTTGGCTGGGGCTGGACTGAGTTGACTTGGGCTTAGGCTTCCCTTGTAATAAAATTTGTAATTTGTAATCTTTGTTTAATGAAAGGGTCTATGTAATTGTAACTGATTACTAGTCATAGTTATAATTGTTATTTAGTAATCAAAACTTATGTTAAGGGTAATTTTCTGTTTAACCTTCTCATCATATTTTATTGTTCTCAACTCCAACTCCAACGTCCAATTCAATTGTTATTGGTCTTAAACAACTCATGACAATGAGATTAATCAATTGGTTAATTCGCTTAACCAAACCAAAACATGAAAATCGAAACCCCACTAACCCAAGTCGTGTGAATGTCTTAAACATCAACTTGACTCTATCAATCGAGATTTGCTATTTCTTATCTCATAGAGTTAATGCAAACACGACCGTCTCAAGCACTATCAATATATTTTAGTTTGAAAATCAATTAACTCGCTATTGCAAATCTTCAATAAAAACTAAATTTTATTTAAGTAAAAAGGTTTTAACCCGGACAAAAATCGAAACCCCACTAACCCAAGTCGTGTGAATGTCTTAAACATCAACTTGACTCTATCAATCGAGATTTGCTATTTCTTATCTCATAGAGTTAATGCAAACACGACCGTCTCAAGCACTATCAATATATTTTAGTTTGAAAATCAATTAACTCGCTATTGCAAATCTTCAATAAAAACTAAATTTTATTTAAGTAAAAAGGTTTTAACCCGGACAAAAAGTGGTGTCTACACATGCATAATCAACAACATAAACACTATCGGCCCACAAGATGTTAATAAGCCGTTCGTCGTCATCCTTCTTTAGTTCTATAACGAAATGATCGTCCACGCTGCATTTAACTTGCAGGTAGGCTAGGGCTGTTGCGACATCACCTTCACTGATTTGTTCTTTCCTCTCTTTGTCCACATAATTATATGCATCCTTCCTCGTGTACCCCAACTTGTCATAGCCTCCTGCTTCTGATACGGCCAGATTCACAATTTGAGAAGTTTTCATGCCTGCAGCTCTTCTAAAATTTATCGCTGCTTTGACTGCATCACTCATACGACGTTTCCCTTTCATGAAGTGTCTATATTCTCTGGGGATCATTTCATGTGTGTGTACATCATCAAACTGATGCACATACCACTTCCCATCGACCTTGTCGTGTTTAACACGCATCTTGGCTCTGCAGTTAAATCTGGTCTCCCCTCTTGCTTCTCTCTTTCGTTCTATGCTTTTCATGCGCCTCTTTCCCTCGCCAGAGCATACATAGTCACGCCATATCATAACATGGTTCTTATCATGACCAATGTCTGATTTTCTGATGCCAAAGCCTTTGACTAACCCGTAGTCCATGTAGAAATCATAGGCTTCTTCTGTATCATCGAACTTCATTTTTTTAATATCTTCAGGCTGTAGAAATATGAGATCAGCGACATTATCTTTCTGGGTGGTGTGACTGGCTCCGGCACCATCGTTTTCTTGGACTGGCTCCGACGTCAATAGTAGGATTGCCTCCAACGTCAATGGTGGGTCTGCCTCCGACGTCATTGTCACTGCGGGAAATTTTGGGGAACCAAGGATGTAGATTACAAAACCCTACTGGGAATGATGGCCGAATTAATGCTTGAATGGGCCACTTAATAATTATCCCCATTAAACCGAATCATAACACAATTTGTGACATCTTATTTTTTTGGTAGGAACGATTTGAACTTTCTATTCTTTATCTTAGTGATTTCTTTACCGTTTTCATAAATAACGAAAATATTTAAAATGAAAAGGAATGCTTAGTAAAGCCAAACGCCAGCTGACTCTAGCTGTGTACTACGTGTATGGGGAAGGATCAAATATAAATATGAGCGAATATTTACTAATAGCACTCAATTTTTTATTCAATCGAAAAAAAATATTTTTAATTTTAGGTTTAATAACTACCCATGTTTATCCCAAGTTCATGTACCTTAGACTAAACCCTAACTATTTTCACGCGGGAAAAATATGCCGCCACATTTTATCCTAACCTTGTATATATAATTAATCTTTAGCGGTAGAGCAGTGATTCCATATCCTTCTTTGCCGCAATTTTGAGTACAGACTAAAGTTTAGAGGCACAACATGGAAAATAGGAGGATTACTCGCTCTTCGTCCAAGCTTGTGGTATGTCTAATAGCTCTTTAGCCATTGAAATTCATTCTAGTTAATTTATTAATCGTAGGTTCACTGTCATTGAAGGAGACCGCCGACTTTGTGACTCCAACAAAGAAACCAAGGCTACCCAAAGGTATAAGCACTCCTTCCACTTCTGCTTCAGTCATCGTTTTTATTTCGGACGATGAATCTGACTCTGAGGTAACACCAAAGAAGCCAAATGGAAAAAGTATTTCTCTAAGTTCTGTTGACAAGGTAATAAAAGTGTCATATTTTCCATCGAAGTGTTCTTTGCCGTTATTTCGTCAGACATAACGAATGCATTTTGACTCGTGGTTATTTGTGGTCCCTATTCCAGGTTGTTTTGAAGTTTAAGCTACCTACTGGTATGGAATACGACGATGAGCAAATCCAGCTTGCTCACTATATATTTTTAGCCAATCTTCCACCTGACGAAGTATTGGTCAAAACCTCAAACAACTCTTGTACCAGGAAGTCATTGTGGTCCTTAAGCCCTCGCTCATTCGTAAATGCTGAAGTAATCAACGGAACTCCAAAATTTTATTGTGTTTGTCAACTATCAATGCTTTCTACGTATAATTATTTTATAACAAATCTATAGTATCATGAAGTGTTTTTTGTCCATGTTATATTAGGTTATAACAGCGGTGGCCTGCCGCTTGACTCTCGAAGAGTTGTGGACAAATTCTAAGGACGGAAAAGGAGTGTGCTATCTGCCTGCTGAACTACAGGTTGTGGTCCGATTATGCTTAAGATTAATTTCCTCTCACCAAAAAATACAACACATGTTTTTTTTTTAACGTGAATGATATTGTGTTGACAAAATTTCAATTGTGCAACTACCACATGGACAGGAACTAGTGATTTCATGTGGAATAACACCCAAGAGGGCATTAGACCTATACGAATCAAAATTCCTTAGTCGAACCAATATGGTGAACAAGGTAATCTGTTCGTCTTAATAAGTATTACATGGTTTGCAGTTTATTTTTTTTAATACGTGTTGACAATTTCCGCATATGTAGGTGTGTGTTCCGATGAGAGATAATGTTCATTGGTACTTGGTTGTCATTAAGTTGGACAAGGAAGAAGTCCATATCTTGGATCCACAACCAAATGAAGACCGCAATTCCTTTCGACTAAGATCTGTTCAAACAATGGTAAATTTGTGACATTGTGCGTTATAACGCAAAAAAATGTAAATACATCTTTCTAAATACAAACGTTTCTTAATTTGTACATATGAGATTTATGCAAGCCTTGTGGAAGATTCTCTATCGTGAACAAGGTCCGGGATTGTCGCCACCAAGGATTGTGGAGTTTTCGTACACAAATCCTTCAAAGGATCAAGAACAACTTCATCGGTAAGTATGCCCATTTTGTGTGATATTAAACGACAGCTTATCAACTTGTTTATCATGCAATGCTTTCATCTACAGTATCATCTATAGTGGAAACGTAAAACTGCACCCCCCATTCAAAATTCCCTGTCCATAGAGTGATTTGCGGGAGCTTACGTGGCAGAGCATTTAGCGGGCGTTTTTCTCTCTCCCCTTTTGGAATCGCCATTGACTTCCGGTTTTCTTTCTCTTTCCCCATCAAATTGCAGCCCCCCCTTGGCCTTTGTTAGTATCTTCGTATCGTTTTCTTTGCAGCAGTTTCTCCATTACCCCAAACCAAAACCTCACCACTCTCTCTTCAGTTTCCTTTCCCTGTCCCAACCTCGGAGAAGAATAACGCGATCTGTAATCGGATTGGAGAAGAAGAACGCGATCTGGTGGGCGGGTGTTACCCTCCAAGACTGCTTTTGGGATTGACGAGTTCGTCGCCGCAGCTGTTCCCTCTGATTATTTCTTCTTCCCCTTTTTGGAACCAGATCGTCAATCCCCATTTCAATTCTCCCCCCGCAGCAATGGCGAACACTGATTGCGGAACCCTTTTAGGCTAATGACGAGAACTCTGTATCCAGGTATTCTTCTTCCCATTATTGTATCTGCACTCTCATCAAATCGAAGTCACAACCCCAATTTCATATTCGGCTAATAGGCGTCTATGGGGGCTTTGGTTGTGTACGAATTCCAAGTTGTTTTTTTCGATGGTTCTTCGAGTTCATGTATACCCCTGTGTATTTGTGTTCTGATCGGGCTTAGGGTTCCCCATTCCCATGAACATGTAGGATTTGGGGTTGGAATTGCACCGGTTCTTTGCAATTAGGGTTTGTACGGCCTGCTCCCTTTCAATCGTGGAGGATTGCCGCCCCAGACCATATGCTTGGGTTGTCAACCGGCAGCTGGAAGTCTCTCCTTAGCCATCGATTTCGGCCCACCATTGCAGGGTCTCCCAATTCTCGGTTTTGCCAGAGTCGTTAGATTATAGTTGTCGTTTCTCCTTCCTACAGCACTGGGCAAGTCGATCTGAAGAACTGTTCCGTGCGGCAAAGACTACAGGTTTCCTGTCCAGGTAATCTTCAATTGTTGTTGTGGTTGAGGTGTTCTATCCTCTCTCACTGTAAAGCTCCACTCCCTCTCCTGGATGAAATGAATATTGGAGTTGTAAGATGTACCTTTACATATACTATTACAGGTTTTTGGTCATTGTGAAGTTACTTTCTACCATATCGCAACTGTTGTCCACTGGCAATATAGGGTTTGGTTTAGGATATAAGTTGTATGTTAAGTAGGCAAATCAGTAATTGTTTCCACACACTTGATGTCACTGTCCTTTATAGAAGTTCCAGCCCACTTAGGATGACAAAGGTGCCGCTGTTCTGAACTTCAGCATGCAATGTGCCACTATTTTACTTATTTCGCAAGGAGCAAACTGAAACTGAATTGCATATCCTGTTTATGCCATATACTGAAATTTTTGACATCCGCCTAACACGACTTCTCCCTTTTTCAGCCCGGAAGTTCGATGGCGATTTGCCTTATTGGATGTGCTTCCCTGGATTGTCAGCACTATATATTATTAGCTTACAGTTGGTTTTGTATTTCAGCATCGCTTCGAGCAAGATATGGTGCTACTGATTGTCGTTTATCAGTTCTATTGAACTCTGCGTGCTGTCTATAATTATCACAACATAAGCTGAACATGGATATGGATACTCCTGCTTCCAAAGCCTTTTGTGTCTGGGGGGTTCCTACAAAGTACAACAACGTTATGTGGATTAATTTATTAAATGTGTATTCCAGCATTTGTTAGTTGTATTACCTTTTCCTCAATTCTATATGACGAGTAATTAATTACCAGGATTTGATCACAATCCTAAAAAAATTTAGCTTCCATATCAGGAGTTTTCCATTATTCTATATAGCCTGTTTCTATCACAAAATGTGGACAATATCAGGCGCCATAAGTTTGTTGTAGTCCTCAAATTGGTATGTTAGGATGATTTGTATTTCTTTGTATTATCTTCCAGTCATCACTTCCTCTATGGAATTTGCCAAAGTTCATCTTTCACTTTCCATTGTGTGCTAATGATATTACAAGGCTATGTTGTTTCCACTTACCAGTATCCCCAATTGTGTGTATAATTTCTCACCAATGTAATGCTCTGTAGGATTTGGTATAGTGTCATAATTCTGAAACCATCACAAGTGACCGAACACTTTATTTCCATAATTTGGATTTCGTGGTCCATAGTATCGATGGATACCCGTGAAATTGAAGTTTTTTTTTACAGTAATGAAATGATGATGTATTAGCCAGTAGGAAAGACAGTTTGGTCTTTACAACTAATTATTTATTTTATATAGAAAATGTTAATATCAAGATTTGAACCTGAGTCTCTTCAAACAAAGAGAATAATCACAACAAATTATACTAAACAAATTTGTTATATCTTTTTTAATACAAAACATACACGAAGTTGAACTCTGAGAATATGAGGACTTTTCCATCATGATTAGCAAGCCCACTAAGTCTACCGTGTGTATTTTTCAATTTAAATATAAATTTTGTGCTTTTTTTTATCTTTGTTCTTATATCTTTCTAACTTCCTCCGAAATTCCTACATCGTGGAATAGTTTGCGCCCCTTTCACTTTCCCGTACAAGGTCATCTTCGAAAATCAATCTTCTGGTTTGTCTTGGCACTAAGATTTTATTGTTGGGAATTTAAGCTGGGCAAGTAGAAGATGCCAACTTCTATATCAATGTGAATAGAATCAAGTTCAATAAATGAAGTTGCAGAAGGATGATTAGAAATTGAATTTTTTTGTTGAAACATATGCCTCTTGAAATTGATAGAGTGGATAAAAATTTGGTTGTATGACAAAGAGTGGTGGCTATTAGATCTTTAGGTTTGTGGTTTTTGCAGCCATCACAACCTATCTCTATTTTAAAACGAGGAATCATTGATTGATTGATTTACTGAAACAGCTCGATTCAACCTACTGGAACTGGTATATAAGGAGTGTCTAATTTTGTGCCTTATTACTTTTTGATTAGTGACATATTTTCCCTAAAATGAGAGCATTTTTTTAATCAATATACAATTATCTTTTGTCAATTTTTTCCCCTTTATGTAGGATTGTGAGGTTAATTTCTATGGGTCGTGTGAGCTTTTAAGCTCTATCTTTCTCTACAATCAACTAACCAATAGCATTCTAACGGGGCTTTATTATTACTATGAAAAGGAGATATCAATGATACATTTTAACATATGCCTCTTGAAATTGATGATAGAGTGGATAAAAATTTGGTTGTACGACAAAGAGTGGTGGCTATTGGCTATTAGATGCTCGATTCAACCTACTGGAACTGATAGAAGGAGTGTCTAATTTTGTGTCTTATTACTTTTTGATTAGTGACATATTTTTCCTAAAATGAGAGCATTTTTTTAATCAATATACGATTATCTTTTGTCAAAAAAAAAATTTCCTTTATGTAGCATTGTGAGGTTGATTTCTACGGGTCGTGTGAGCTTTTATGCACTATCTTTCTCTGCAATCAACTAACCAATAACATTTTAACGGGGCTTTATTATCACTATGAAAATGAGATATCAATGATACATTTTCATATTTCACAAACATAATTTTTCGTTTGCTCTCAAGTTTTGATGGTCCTCTCTTAAGTGAGTTGTTAGTATATAGTTGACTTGAATCAACAACTCTCAATTTCTTTTTGATTAGTGACATTTTTCCTAAAATGAGAGCATTTTTTTAATCAATATACGATTATCTTTTGTCAAAAAATTTTTTCCTTTATGTAGGATTGTGAGGTTGATTTCTATGGGTTGTGTGAGCTTTTATGCTCTATCTTTCTCTACAATCAACTAACCAATAGCATTTTAACGGGGCTTTATTATCACTATGAAAATGAGATATCAATGATACATTTTCATATTTCACATTCTTAAATGATTCTGATGTTTCTCCGAATGTTCGACCTATATATTCTTTCTTTATGTATCATTTAGATCGAATGATTGTTAATAAAATTAAACAGGTTGATAGACTTAAACGTAACATAAAAATATAAATATGAAAATTCCGGCCAACGGGCCGGGTTATAATCTAGTTTTATGTAGGTCTGACAGTGGAGTCTAGGTGTGCATGTGGATGTATGGCGCAAGCTGGGACTCCTCTTATATTTGGGTAAAGACAATTCTTGTTCGCATATTAGAAAACCACACTTGATTGTTATTTTTGAATCATGCGTTAAGCACCATATTTGTTGATGTTGATAGCCATGCACTCAAGTGAGGAGGATGCAGATCGCTTTGTACCTTGTTCGAGAGCCCATGAACTACATAAGGCATATGGTGCTCACGGAAGCAAGAACAGTTGCACCTCAAGTTGAAGCTGCAGTCGAAGAGTACAAGAAAGCCCATGAAAAAAGGAAAAAGGAAAGAGAAGAGCACAAGGAAACCCAGTCAAAGAGCCCAAGAACAACCTGATTTTGCATTTTTTTCCGAGATGATGGACAACCATGTTATGTTTTTTTTTTCTCAAGATGATGGACAACCATTTTTGGTTTGGTTTGGTGAATGCTTTCTATATTTGGTTTTTGGTTTGGTTTGGTTTGTTTTTTCGTGGAAACTATATTGACTTTTCGGACATCCATCCCTTCCGAATCGAGTCTCAAAGTATCTAGCTTTAACCTGGCTACTACCTTAGCCAACAAGTGGCAATTTCCAGCTTTCCAGTTACACTTTTGCACAACCTGAAAAGGGACCTTCTGGACTTGATCTCCAGCTCCCAAGTAATCCCTGGTGTTCACAAATATCCCAGGTTCAATAAAAATCAATAAAATCTCATTTTCATCGAGCCATGCGTGACGAACAGGCTTCCAAAGTGAGCTACCCGAAATGGCAAAGGGACTTGACCAAAATTCCAGCTTCTAACTTGTGAGAGAGGTTGCTTCTGTTCAAGCGATTGTATCTTGTAGAGAGTTTTAATTGAGATCATAGCATTCCACTTCGTTCCCAATTGCCCTCGTCTAATTAAATTTGCATTCTTTATTGTGTACAATTAAAAGGGTATTTTACTATAAACGAAGCATGATAGATTCACCGGGGGGAATAAAAGAAGCATGAGTCTTGATGAAAAAGGGGAAAAAATCACCATAGATAAAAAAATCATTATAATCAAGCCATATCCATACTATTCACGCCTATCATCGTCACTATACTTGTGACCAAATATAAATAAAACCATAATTTTCGAAAACCATTAAAAATTGAAGATGAAATAAGTAACACATTCTTCGACCTAATTGGAACTGCTTATAACAAAAGCGGATTAAAATCTCCCCCAATGAAATTCATTTGCAATTTCATAGGTAGTCCCTACTTCCACTTCTATAATTTTGAGAAAACATCACTTCTCAACAACAATGAAAGTCAATTGCAATTTCATCAATAGTCCCCACTCGTGGGCCCATTTCAATTGCAAGCAAATTTGCACACTTGCAATGGCACCCCACATCAATGCAATTCAAAGTTGCAATTGCAACTTATTGCCACATCAGCTTGCAAGTTGGAGATGCTCTTATGCAAATTTGCACCCTTGCAATAGCTTCTCACATCATAGCAATTTAAAGATGCAATTGCACCTCCTTGCCACATCATCTTGCAAGTCACAAAAATTGCACCATTGGAGATGACCATTACTGCATCTCGTCACCTGTCTTAGGGAACTTAGCCATGGCAAATTCAAAAAATACTGCATGCATAAAAAAATCTTGGTCTGGACAATTCAAAAAATAGGAGACTTTCCTAGTCAGATGATGTACTGGCTCCCCTCAGTACCTGACAGTTTTGAGTGCTGGAGAATTAAGGAAAAGATAAAAGACTGGAAAAAAACCCAACAAAGACTTAGGAAACTTGTTAACAGAAGACATCCATTGCTGGCCCCTTTGCTGCTCCAACGCTCCACCCCGCCTTGCATCAATAGACTCTCATGTAAGTCGAGGACGTTTGCTTGAGGAGGCCTCAGGGGTCTCTTGATGCTCCGTATGTCGATTCTCAATAAAAGTATTGGTCAATTCGGCTATACGGTACACCGGCAAATAAGCGCACTGGTCCTCCTTAACATAAACCCCCATATCCATCCCAACCCTTTCAAGAAAGGTGGTCACGAAGGTGGCATAGGGAAATGCAGTATACCAGTTTTCCCCTTTAGGAGCAGCCTCAACCATGTTCAGGCACATGAGAAATGCGAGGTTAACAGGAACACCTCTTTGAGCTTGCACAAGGATAAACAAGTCAAGTTTACGAATAATCGAATGACCACGGTACCTTGGCAGGAAGCATTTGACGATCATCCAGTGGAGGAATCGAAGAGGATCTGGGAGGAAAGAAGCCTGGATGCGCCCCTTCGTGAGTTTCGCCAGTTCAACTTCAAACTCAAAATTGTACAGCCGCCCAAGATCGCTTCTGCTCTCAATGGGGTGTCCTCCGGCGGGAAGATCAAGGATCTCAGCAAACTAATGAGGCTGGAAGCAGACTCTATGTCCTAGGAAGATCGACACGAGATGAGAATCACAGGGACCAGAAAGATGTAAATTGTGGTAGAACTTCCTCACCACATGGGGGCAGTAATGGGTGCTTCCTCGACTCCGGAGATCAAAGAACTTTTCCCAGCCAAGATTTTTTATTAACGTCTTCACTTATGGATGGAAAAGACTTAGGTAGATGAACTCGTACTCGGCCACAATTGCTGTTTTGCATGTAAATGAAAGATAGTC